CCAAAAAAAAATTGCTTTTGGGCCCGGGATTTAGCTCAGTGGTTTCGCTGCCTGCTATGCAAGCGCAAGGACCCGAGTTCGATCCCTAGTACAAAAATAAATAAATAAATAAAATAAAATAAAATGAACATTGCGAAATGTTCATTTTAACATTTTGTAATCTGTCTCCTCTTCCTGCCTCAGAGGCCTCTTTGGACACTGCCTCCTACTTCCTCACCAGAGTCTAGATGGGTGATCTACCTCCAAGTACAGCCTTCCTGAACTCTTCCTCAATAGCTGACTTTCTATAGTACTTGCCGTGGATCCAGTAGTACTCAACCTTTAATAAAGGGGGGAACTTTAGTATTTTTATAAAGGTTTTTAACTGGAGAGTCTTCCAGGAATAGTAAGGGTGGTACAGTTTGGAAAAGTTCTAATAGAAGTCATGGGAGAGCTACTAACAGCATTTAGAGGTACAACCCTCCCTGTCTTTGGGCTGTGGTACAGCTATACTTCCTCCTATCTGCCATTCTGAGAACAAATTGTAGAGCAAACGAGAGTGAAGGAGCTGAGGAGATTTTCAAAATAAAAGCAGTACAAAGGTTAAAGTCAAAGTCAAAGATGAAGAAATTAACAATAAGGTACTTGTTAGATCAAAATAAGCGTAAAAAGAAAATAAGGGTATGCAAAGTTGAAACAGGAGAAACAAAAACGAAGGCAAAATAGGAAATTCTAGAGAAACAGCTGTTATATAGATGATTAAAAAGATAACATTTTATTATTTTTAAGATGAAGGTTATAGATAACAGGTAAATGTACATTTTTAAATACTGTAGAAGTTAACATACAAGGGTGGAATATTCAAAGCAAAGCTGGGAGTGGGCCTTTGATGATATTCACCTATGGGGTAGTGGAGCCCCTAGTGGAGAGCCTAGCATTATCTCCTGGGTGGATCAGCCTCCCTCCCTGCCCCAGGAGGCCTTTCCTTTCTGAGAAGGCCTGGGCTGCAAGTTGCCTGGGACATCCGCTGCCCCTACTTTGGAAAATGTGCTTCTTCTAACCATAACTGAGACTTGGAGGAAAATTCAGAATGAGTCTGAAAACGTTGTTTTTAAGTAGAAATATCCCAACAGTTTATCCTTAAAAGAGCAGAACAATTTCTAATAGTTTTGACACAATTTAGAGCCAACTGTGCATTACATTTGGGGAATTTCTTTTTCTACTTTTGTAGTTTTCTTTGTAGTCATATTCGACAAATTTTATTTTCTGCCTTAAAAAATGTAATGTTAATGTTTTCTGTGTCATATAATTTTTCATGACATTTTTATTGACTGCATGGTATTCCACAGTTGAGAATCTAACGTATTTCCTTAATTTTGGAATATTTACATTTTTGCTATTTTAAAGATACATTGAAGGCTGAAGTAGAAGAATTGCAAGTTCAAGTCCACCCTTCGAAACTTTGTGACCTTGCTCAAAAAAAAAAAAAAAGGCTGGAGATGTAGCTCAAGAAGGCCCTGGGTTCAAACCCCAGTAGTGCCATAAAAAAGAAAAATAAATCATTGAGCTGTAGCTCTGTCTGAATTTCTGGCTATATGCTCAGGGTGCCTTAATGTATTATTATTGAAGATAACTGTCCCATTATATCCATAGCAGCAGTGAATTACTATTCTGTCATTTAAAAACCATTCTTAGTTTAGTGAGTCAAAAGTTGTAACCTTTAAGGGATGTAATGCCAATTTTGTCATAAAGGTGCAGAAATGTGGGTGTATAGTACCCATGTTTGTTTAGAATATTTCCATTGATGAATTAATTTATTAATTTTATGAGATTTATTATATTAAAGAAAGGATACTTAACAGAAAAAATACCCAAAAATTAAGTGTTGAATTTTTAGTATTTATTGAGCGTTCATTAAAAAAGCATCAAAATTTTCGACATCAACTGTTTTTTGGTATACAGAGTCTAAAAAATATCAACAGAAATAAATTCTTATATGAACCACAATGAAAATACCAGTAGAACTACAAAAAAAATCTTTACTTCAATTATCACACCTAAGGCAGTCTTCACACATGACAGTAGCATGTTCCATACACATGTATTGCTTATACTAACGGCACATGTGTTTTGCTTTCCTAGCCTTTATGTAAGACATACTTGACATCTCACTGATCTTTGCTGTTTTGTCAGGAGGTTCTTATTATATTATATAATGTGTAGTTAATGGGAACATAAAATATCAATAAAAATAAAGTATTAAATTCTTAATATGTCTTGCACATTTAGAATAAACATCATTTTCACATCAGCTGTGTACTTGCTTGCAAAACCTAAAAGAGAACATCAGAAATAAATTCCCATATGAACTACAAAGAAAATACCAATAGAACTCTACACCAAAAATAATCTTTGTGTCATTTGTCACACCAAGGCAGTCTTCACACGTGAAAACTGCATGTTCCATACACAAGTATCTCATATGTTTTGTTTTGTTTTCCTTTTTTGTAGGGCATGGTTGACATCTTTTTGGTTTCCCGTTGTTGTTGTTGTTGTTGTTGTTGTTGTTGTTGTTGTTGTTCTTGTTGTTGTTGTAGGTCTTTGTGATGCTGCACCTGCCTGTTCGCCTGTCAGCTCACCAGTGTGCTCCACAATGTTTTTGGATAGTTCCCTGGGTAGAATAGAAACATTTTGTTTTTCCTCTGCTGTAAATGATCTCTTATGAGTTCCAGTCCCAATCTTCTAAGAAAATTTCTCCATGGTATTTTGCACTTGTTATTTTCTTTGTAAACTATCAAATTATGCCACATGTTTAGGACTGAGTAAAACACAATCATTAACCAATGCTTTGTGTTCCAAGTGACATTATAGTTGCTGCATGACTCAACAGCATCTACTCCACCTTTGGTTTTGTTGCTGTAGCAAGTTACTATCTCAGGCTTCTGCTTTGTGGAAGTTTCCCTATTAGTATTTTCATCATAGTGCAGTGTTGACATCAGCGGTTCCACTTGTCTTTCTTGGCCATATATGAGGCCGATGTTATATCTTTCTGAAATCTAAAGATTTTACTATACAATTCTCTGTTTTGAATTTGCATCATTTCATTTGAAATTTCTGCTTTGTTTCTGCATACAGTTCCTATGGTGGTCAACTTGTGCTCTGTTGGCAAATATAGCATTGATTGGAAACTGGTAAACCAATTGTCAAATGTCACATTGCGATTAGTGTGGGAGATGGGAGCAACAAGTCTGTTCACAACATCATTCAGTTTATTACTATACAAATAAGGTCCTGGTGGCTGAGTTCCAGGATAAATTTCTAAATTGAAAGCAAAGTAAGTCTTCACACCTACAAGAACATACGTTTTTATGCCATATTTGACCCATTGCTTTTCCATAAGTCTTCCATCCCTGCTATTACCATGAGAAATCCCTGCTAAGTACAGCGGACCTGTGAATTCTTTCAGTTCAGCCAGTGAGGTGTCGTAATAAATACATTTTGTAATATAGCTATTGGTGCATACACCGTTTTACTTGCATTTCAGCTTTTGTGTATTTCACAGCATCTTGTAGCATTTCGTCTGTTACAATTTCCAACATTGAACAGCAGTGCTGGCATTCTGTCCAATAGGTTTCACCCCTGCCAAGATCCTCACTATATTCGCCTACCTAGTTCTAACCTGGATTGTTCCATTTGGTTGCATGACTATTAAACTAGTCAAATGTGTATTCACGTTGTTGTTTTCTTTGTCATCTGAATCGAGCAGGTCTGAATTCCCTGCGTTTGTATCACTTGATTCTTGTTCCATTTCACTGTCACAGGAACTTTGGTCTCGCATGGCCAATGTCAAAGTCCTTATTATCCTCATCATCCATGCATGAGTAATCTGATGATTCATTTTTTATCTCTTCCAAAACTTGAAATATTTTTTCATGTGCCATTGTACTGAATTAGGCTACTTCTGACAGAAAAAATTAAAACTGTTTTAAAAAAACAAATCAAAAATGCACAGAACTTAGCAGTGAGCATTTCATGGGTAAAACACTCATTGCTGCTTTAGAGTTCCTGTACACACCTTGCCATTCATCTCCAAATGGGAGAATACACAGATTTTTGCTTTCCCCAGATCCAGCTACTGTACATCACACCCACATTCTATTATGATAAGATACATGTTTTCATAAGAGAAGAGTGGTGTGGCTGTATTTTAGCCCCTGTGATGCTCAAGTAAACATACACAAAAGGCAGAGCATTATGTGGGTAAAAATCCTGTTTTGACAGTTTTGCACACGTGCACACACCTGCCATTCATTATAAGAAGTGAGTAAATACAAAGATTGGTTCCTCTGTCCCCCAGGTGCAGCTGCTGAAACGCTCAGCCAGCTACTGTTATGCTAAAGTACAAATTTGCAGTAGAAAAGTATGGGATGGGTTGTTACACTTGATTAACATGTGGAGCGAACAGTTTTTCAGTTATTTGTGGATATTGCTCACTTAGCTATTTATGTTTTAACATGCTCATTAATATGTATGTAGATGCAATTTATATGTATTATAGATAATAATCCTTTGTCATATTGGCTGTTCTTGATTTAAACCACTTTATGTTTTTACTTAACATTTTCAATTCCATATTTTCCCCTATTCTATTTAAGCACAGAAAGATTCCATACACCTAAGATAACAAGTAGATACTGCTATGGAAATAATCTAACTCATAGAATGGCTATCATGTCAGATTTTAGGGTTTTTTTATGTTAGGTGTTACATTTACTTCTGTTTCCAGACTATCTCCTTCCCTTACTTCCTTAATACTTCTGCATCAAATGTTCAGCTCCTCCAACAAGTAAAACACAAGAGGAGGCACAGGTTTAGAGTTACCACATTTCTTTATTATCCACTCATGTATTTATTGGAAGCTTTAAGGCTTGAATTTATTTTCATTTTATGAAGGTAAACTATAAACCTTGGAAATTTAGTGGTATTATAACCATAAGACTGCATTACTCTTACTTTAATAGATGAAGTATTTAGAGGACATGAGCCAGGTCAAGCATCAAACAGATCTGTGTCTGCAGCTGATGTTGTTTTGTATGGAGTAAACCTCATTCTGCCCCTGATGTCACAAGATCTTTTGAAGGTAATTACAGACAATGAATGTGAAGATTAAAACTATATTGAAGTTCAAAGATACTTTCAAAGATTCAGAGACAATCATGTACATCTGACTTAATTAAGGAGTGTATGAAAATGAAATTTTTGCATTTCCATTAGTTACTTGTGCTTGCTTCCAGAGTCCTGTGTGGACTGATCCATTAGTGATGCATTTTGTCAGGGCGTGCTACAGAGAAAAATGGTTACTTTAGGTATTGAGTTTTGTTAGCGGTTTTACTTTTTTATCATGTATCATTATATTTTTGAACATTCTCAGGATTGAGCAGAGGAGGGGATTTTCTAAGCCACTTCATGTAGATAGAAATGGTATGGTAAGAAACCAAGACTAATACAATTTAAAATGTTCTCAAATCTGACCAAATTGTGCTTACTTTCACCATTTGGTATTGGGGGTTGGAGGTTTGTAAGGTTGCCATTTCTTCTTTTCGTAAGCATTACAGCAGATAGGAAGTCTCTTGTCTGATTGCCTGGGAAGGTAAGGGTGGAGAAGAAAGAGAGGTGTGTGCACACACAGGTGAGAATGAGAGGGAGGCAGTAGGAGGAAAAGAGAAATGGAGAATTTCTTGGAAGGTGAGGCTCCCAGCACAGCCGGCTCTCACCATATGCTTCCCTTCCTGAGAAATGCCTCTATTCAAAACAGTCTTGACATCCTATGAGCCAAATATTTGTGCAGCAGCCAGGTGGGATGAACATGTTCAGCCAGCTCTGTGTGTTGGTTTGCTTTTAGGGTTGGTTTGGGTTTGATCAGATAACCATTAAAGGTATATTTTCTCAAGTGTAAACTAGATTATCTGTTTTTTCTTTAATCCTCCAGGCCTAATAGAAAATAATTGTTGGATGTATAAGGACTAAAGACTCTGCTTAATGCATAATTTTAACAGTAGTATTACTTTCACTTTTCCAACATGATTGACTGGAAATAGACACATTTTAGAAGGATTTTATTTCCAGGTCATTTAATAATTTTGGATTTGTCTGTCTTATTTACTGTTCAGTGTAAATATAGAGTATATGGAATTGACTGTAGCTTTTATTAATGATCCAAAAATAATTGTCTTTGCTGTATATTACTTTTTTATAGTAGTTACTAGACTACTTTGTATTATAACTTGTTTTTACATTTATTTAGGTCTGCATGTTTTCTATACTTCTTACATGTTTTAAAGAAATTGTTATATTACTTAGAAACTTGTTAGTTACATTATAACATTAATGAAAATAAAAATGAGGTACTATTGAGCATCTAAATATTTCATATTTCTTTTTCAGTTTCCAACCCTTTGTAACCAGTACTACAAATTAATCACATTTATCTGTGAGATTTTTCCTGAAAAAATACCACAGCTTCCTGAGGATCTGTTTAAAAGTCTGATGTACTCCCTGGAACTAGGAATGACATCATATCCTTTAAATGAATATTGTGTGGTGGAGGGGAGGTCTTACTTGGAAATATTTAAATCTGTATTTTTCTTTTGTGGTTCAGTTTTATTTCTCCAAATAGTTATCTCTGTAACTGCTCTAATTCTGTTTCTTTTGTTAATTTGCCTCATCCTGTCCTCTTCTCATAGATGCCTAGTGCATTTGGTCCCTTGCCCCAAAGTCACTCCTTTATTAAGGCCCCATTGGCAATGCCATCTGTTATTACTAGGCTTCTGGTCTTAGCTTGCTGGTTAATACTGTCAATTTTCATCTGCTGCACACATCATACTGTATTTCCCTGAAAAAAAGACTGGGTCTTATATTAATTTTTGCTCCAAATGATGGAATAGGGCTTATTTTCAGGGGATGTCTTATTTTTTAATGTACAACAATCTACATTATTTATGTACAAAACTCTACATTTATTGGGCGACAGTCATGTCATCTTGTGGAACATCATTATAACTATGTAATCCCCAAATTTCTGGCCTGAATTTCTTGCAAACCCTTTTCCTGTAGAACCACTGGCCCCAGTCTCATGTCGAGCAGTGGAACTGTCCTTAAATCAGAGCGCTTGTCCATGTGGCCTGCTCGTAGTGCATTGGCAACACAGCTGTCAGTGATTTTGTCCCGTGCATTGTTCATCCAGGTCACAGCCTCTTGCAAGCTGGCTTCACAAAATTTCCATTAAATAAAATGTTAATTGAAAACTTAGGAAACAAGAGTGGCAACAAAATTGATGACAGTTAAGAATGTTGGTCTAGACAAAAGCGAAGAAAAACTGCAGGGACTGAAATTCAGAAAATGTTTATTTTCCACAAGTGTATTAAGTATGTCTGTTACAACACATGACATTGAATTAGATTCATATTAGACACAACCAAGTCCATTTATTATCAAGTGAGCATGTTATTTGTCTAATCGGTCATTTAGTAGTAAGCCTTGTTCATTTGTTCATGTAGGCCTTTAGCTCTCTTCTAAAGGCACCTGATTGGGTATTTACAAATACTTAATTTGTATTATCTATTTTAAGTATTAATGTCAATAATATTTATGTTTATATATTGATATTATTTTATATATAATTCATTACATCTGTCGTGTGCTGCAACGAATGTGTTAAATGCATCCATCTGGCTTAATCCATTTTAAGTGGGCTTATTTTCAGGGAAGGGCTTGTATTATGAGCGTGCTAAAAAATATCATGCTGGGGCTTATTTTCTGGTTAGGTCTTATTTTCAGGGAAATGCAGTACGTAGAAACAAGTTAGACATGACCAGTCCCAAACTCAGAACTTATAAATCATCTGAAAAACTGGATGGGCTGGGGATTTAGCTCAGTGGTTCCGCCGCCTGCCTCACAAGCTCAAGGTTCCAAGTTCGATCCCTGGTACAAAAAAATTAAAAAATGAAAAACACTGGAAATCTTCACAACTCATTATTATATATTACATAATAAAAAGTGTCATGCATTTGATACTGTGATTTTTTTTTTTTATCTTTTATAAGTCTAATATACAGTATATCCAGTGTAGTTTGTTCTTTGACTTTTGTGATCAGAATGAGCTCGGAGGTTTGCCAGCTCTGCCTAGAGGCCTTGACACCGTTAGCTGAACAGTGTGCAAAAGCCCAGGAAACAGATTCACCACTTTTTCTAGCAACTCGGCACTTTCTTAAGGTAAGATATTTTTAGTTGGCAGGTCAGAAAATTGTCTGCTTTGATGACTACGGTCAGTGCACATAATTTGTTCAACTAAGAAAATGCCCACATTCTTCTAGAGAAACGGAAATAATTTCAGTTCACTGTGTTTTCTAGAATTAATTCTTCAGAGACACATTATTCTCATCCATTCTTATTTTGTATTCTTGAAAATTGATGTGGCAGGTATAATGATTTATTTGATAATTGATTATTCTGATAACACAGCGGGTAATAACATCTGCAAGTTATCCTTGGAATTTTAAAAAAACATTTTATTTGATTTTCACTTGATTCAATAGAGTATAATGTTTCTCTCTTTTTTGACTGGGGAGAGGCTAGAGGATTTTCCGATCATCCTCTCTTTTTATTTAAAGGTCTTATTATTTAATTTCAGCTGGTTTTTGATATGCTGGTATTGCAAAAGCACAACACAGAGATGACCACTGCGGCTGGTGAAGCTTTCTACACGTTGGTGTGTTTGCACCAGGTACTGGACACCCTTCTCTGCAGGGTACTCTTCTTGTTCAAAGAGATGATGGGTTATTTACTATCCCAGTTCTTAATGGATCTGTGACAAAATCAGGCAGTAGTTTTTAGCTCCTTTATTAGCTCTTGGCACTTATTTCATGTGTATCTAATCATTTGTCAACTCAAAAGCATTCATTTTCCCATCTCTATTATCAACCATCCTTTGTAGCAATCACCACTCCAAAGCTTATTCTTAAGATAGCTGTGCTAGAAGCCAGGAGTACAAACATCAGTGAATCATGAATTTGTGGTTCCTGTCCTTGAGGAACTGACTACGTGAAGGAGACAAGATGAATAAGATTGGGGACCAGGTATAGTTTGCTTTCAGAAAGCATAAAGAGCAGTATATTATTTTGTGTAATATTATAGAAAACAGCATTTTATTTTGCTGAACCTTTACAATTCTGAAATGTCACTGATACGGGATTAATGTGACAAAAGCAGTTATGCTAGCTTACTAGTTTTCCTTCATTTTTCTGTCCATCCAGTGTATACAGGATCCTTACTGGATCATATGCTGCCTCAGTTTCCTGTCTCCCCCCCCCCATCCCATGCCCATATATGCTTTATAACATGGCCAAATGATTGGCTAGAGATGCTTTGCATTTTATTTTCCTTTCTAATCATGGTAGATGTTGAGGAGGTCCATATATGTAGAGCCCTGCTTCCTCTAGACTTCGGTGATCTCTGTGCTCTGCGATTTCATTTCTTTTTTTGTTTGGTTTTTTTTGGTACCAGGGATCGAACTCGGGTCCTTGCGCTTGCGAGGCAGGCGACGGAACCACTGGGCTAAATCCCCGGCCCGCAATTCATTTCTTGACCTCTGCTCTAGCATCTACTTTCTGCAGGTGGTACCTAGTCAGATCAGTGGCCTTTCTCTGTCATTTGATCCTTTGTTGCTTACTAGGAAGATAGTCTTTCTTATCCCTGTGTGTATCACATCTGTTATGTCTAGAAGTCCTTTTCCCACTCTTTCTCCAATAGCCACTTGACAGTGCTGGCATGGAACTTTCAAAGTGCTCTGGATCCACGCTGTGGAATCTCTGAAACACCCTTCCTCCGTTTCCTTCTTCCCGATACCTGCTGTCCTCTGAACTGGGTAGACAAGGTGTTTCAGACCTCTGGAGAATTATTCAAAGTCATTTTATCACTTAGGCTGTGTATAAAATGTAAAATAAATATGTATAATGTAGCTGGACGTGGTGGTGCAGGCTTGTAGTCCCACCACTCAGGTGGCTGAAGCAGGAGGATCAAGAGATTGAAGCCAGCCTGGGCTATGTAGCAAGTTCAAGGACCACCTGAGTTATATAGCAAGACTCTGTCTCTAAAAGGAGGAGGAGGAAGGTTTTTATTAGTACATTTTGCAACACAATGTTTACATTCCTTGTGGGGCGTTAGTACATGTACATAACTTATCTTAATTCCTTTGTTCAATCTCCTCCCCATGCCATCTCTTGATCCCCCAGGAGATTGTGTTTTGAAAACACAGAATAAGCAACACCATAAAGTGGTAATCACATAGGTTTGGAGCCAGACTGCTTGCAGTCTTGCTTCCTAGCAGTGTGATCTTGTGTGTATTACCTCATCTCACTGTGTGGCAGAAGCTTCATCTGTAAAATGGGAGTATAAATAGTATCTGTTTCCTAGCAGTGTGAATAAATCCATAGAGAAGATGAGATTACCTCAAGTAGATAATTAATATTAAAAAGGATTGTCAGGCCGGGGATTTAGCTCAGTGGTTCCGCCGCCTGCCTCACAAACTCAAGGACCCGAGTTCAATCCCCTGTACCAAAAAGAAAAAAGATTGTCAGCCTCTGCTTTTTAGAGCCCCTACAGTGCAATACCTATGAGATACAGTCTTATGGGGACTTTGTCTCTCCCACAGGCTGAATATTCTGAACTGGTAGAAACATTACTGTCAAGTCAGCAAGACCCAGTAATTTACCAGAGATTAGCAGATGCCTTCAACAAACTCACTGCAAGCAGCACTCCTCCTACATTGGATCGGAAGCAGAAGATGGCCTTTCTAAAAAGTTTAGAAGAATTTATGGCTAATGTTGGTGGTCTCCTTTGTGTAAAATAAGCAACAGAACTCTATGCTTAATTTAGATCCTTTCTGCAGAGTGCACTGAATTGCTGAAAGTTGACTTGAGTCTTGTCCTGTTCCTCAGTTCATTTGGCCATTTTGGATTTTGGAGAGCCTGAAACTTTGACACAGAATGTGATGAAACAGGAAAAGTCAACTTTGAATCAACTTCTGCTGTTAGGTGTTAGCCACGATTTGCCATATACACTGTCTTCTAGATTTTGAATGGTTATTTGAAAATTTCAAAATGTAATTCCATGTATGTGCAAACAGATATGGGCACATATTCAGTGCCTTTTCCCCTTTGATCAAAACATAGGTGGCTAGCCAAAGTTTAGAATTTTTGCTATTAAATATTAGGTGGTCACGTTCTAAGCAATGTTTCTCAAAATGTTGCTCATAGATCACCTGTGTCACTTGAGCTAATTTTAAAAGTTAATTCTTGGGCCCAGTTGTAGACCTTCAGTTGGAACCTGTGGTTGTTGGACCCTGGAGTTTTCATTTTCATAAGTTCCTCCCCTCCATCACCCTGGAAGTTTTGAATCAATGCGAGAGACATTGAAAAACCTTACGAGGTTTTGTGCTTTCCAATAGTTCCTCCCAAATAATTAGGTTTGTCATTCAGCAGGAAGAAAAATCGTCACCAAGTGTTTATTAGCTTCTTTTTAGTTTATACTCTCCCTCCCTTCTTCTCTTCCCTGTCTTGTTTCTCCTCCTCCACCCCTTTTTCTCTCCACCCCGGTGTCACAGGTTTTGTGTAATTGATACACATCTCTAATCATACTCTGATGTCTGAACTTGAGGAGGAAAATATGTCTATATTTTTGTTCCATAAAAAGAACTTTAGGAACTGTAGCCATTTCATTGCCTTAATTTTAAGAGGGAAATTAAAAAAAAAAAGACAGATTTGTCTTAGTAAGAAATCAGTCAAGTCCTGATGCTTCAGAGTTGGCTTAGGGTGTTAGCTGCTATGAACCTGTTGCCCCTTTTGATCATGTATTTATATGAGTTTACAAGTGAAATGAAAAGCGCATTCCTGTGTAGTTAACTGTATGAGTGCATTTCAATCTCACTACACAGCCCATATCTACTCTGAATGGCTTGCTTAAGCAATAACTATTTTAAAGGATGTGAATTCTGATTCACACAGACTATTGCACATTGGGGCATTAGGGCAATAATTATGTTAGAGTGGGAGTTATCCACATGTCACGGGAGCCACACAAATTTAATTTCAGAAGATAAAAAATTTACTTTAGATTCTCTAGCTTAATTTTTCTAATCAGGATTTTTTTTTTTTGGTACCGGGGATCGAATTCAGGACCTTGTGCTTGCAAGGCAGGCACGGTGCCACTGAGCTAAATCCCCGAGCCTCTAATCAGGATTTTTATACTGCTGCCATGCTCCTCTTAATTCTTTGTGCCAGCTTTAATTATGGAAACGAAAGCTGATGTATAAGCTACAGGCATAGAAAACTGTCCCCTGCAATCCTAGTCATACAATACAGTAAGGTAGAGGACTCTAGCACAGGTGCATCTGAGACCCTGCTGTGAAGGGCAGGCTTTCTCCTTCTACACATGCTCGACCCTGTCTACTAAACCACCCCCTGAGTGCAGTTATATCTGGATTGCACATAGCACATGCATCTTCATACAGGATGCTCTGCAAAGCTTTGTCTAACTGTGCTAGTAACAGTTGCAGTTGACAAAACGGGGGCATCTAAATAATATCCAACCTGTGCATGTGATGATAGATAGGAGTGAATACCAGGCCTATGGCCATAGCTTTGAGGATCATTTTAATATGATCACCATCGAGAAACAATAAAGATGGAGCAAAAACATCTTAAAAGACTCCAAAGAACACCAGTATCACTCTTCATGAAATACGCATCTTTGTAGTTTGAAAAATGTTTTTGTTTCTTTTTAGATTTTTTTGTTCCTTGAAGAACATGAAGTGATAGGCAGCAGTAATCATTTTATTTTTTGATGTTTCTATTTTGTGCTTCATAGCTCCCTTAAGTTTTTGCAGCAGTTGTGAGTTACATGTATCTGCGTGATAAGTACAGTCCCTGAGACAACTGAATGGATAGGTCCACTGGCTAGGACACAGCTATAATTAGTTTATTATTAAAAGTAAGATAAGTAGGAAAAGAATGCCTTGGTAGGAAGGAGGCATCTATATTCAGTAACTTCTACCCATGAAATATGTTTGCTAAATTTGCCGAGATCCTAGTACAGTACTGAAATTGTATTAGACCAGTTTTATTTAAGACAACATTTACTTCAGATTGGACCAAATAATACTGAAGAGATTACCACAATGTCAGTGGCAAACTAGGGGGGAGAGGAGGAGAGATCACCATATTTTAGGTAATGAGGATGCCACTTAATTGCACCATCTAGATTCTTCAGGGTGTTTGTGTTTTTGGTTGCCTGATTAGTTATTTGTTTGGAGCTTCTTTTATTTTGTCCAGTTTTGTCTTTAGCTATGTTTACTAGCTCTTCTGATTTTTTTATTTTCCTTAACCTTGGCCCAGTGAATATTAAGAACACTGGCTTGATTCTAATAAATTGGTTTTTCCAATTAAAACTGTTAAGTTGTTAAAGGATTTTTAAAAATATTATTTGTACTCTTTTTATATATGCTAACAGGACACTGTCAGGTATTTGATTTTTAAACTTTCTGTTGTTCACACGGTATTCCTTCACCTCATTTCCCACACATCCTTTGTTTTATTTATATCTCAATTTATGTTCCTTGAGCATTTGTTGACCAGTTTAATCGCTAAAGACTTTGCATGCTCACACTTTGTGTTAATGCAGCAGCAGCTATAACTGTGTTCTTGTCTCTGCTAAAAGGGGTGGTTTGATTTTATGGTCCTTGTGCTGGATGACTGCCTGGATAGTGAAACTTACTTGACAGTGTCCTTTTCAACACAGTTATCTAGGTCTTTCTGCTGACTGTCTCTTTCTTTTGGAAGAGAGTAGTATGTTAACATTGAGTTTTCATCTGATAAACATTGTGACATTTTATGTAAACAAACTTTGCAATTCTTTAAGCTAATTTTAAGAATTCAGTCTTATTTTATTATAAACTGTGTACCTAATTACATTACTCTGTTCAGATGAGATGGTTAGTATTTTTTCACAATTTTCATTTCCAAACCATGTATCTATATAATTTCCCCCCTTGTCAACATCATTTAACTCTCCTCTTATTTAATGGTTGGACTTTTCTCTTTTACCGAAAATGTCAAGTCTTTATTTTCCAGATATCCAAGTTTCCCGTTTCTGTTAATTCTTCCATGAACCTCTCAAATATTGAAAGAAAGTAGCTATCAGCTTCAAGGATTTCAAGTTTGAGTCTCCTAGTGTACAGTGTTGATTTAGCCCTGAAAATACTATTTTTCTCCTGTTATAATTGTACTTGTGTTCTGTTTGCCATCTCTGTCACTAGAGGTGGTTGTCCTTGGACCTTATTAAGTTGGTTGTCCCTGACAGGTCATTGTCATCATTGGTTCCTGAATAAAATATTAACCTTTTAAGTCAGAAGGAACCTCAGTGCTTCTTAGGGTTTTGTTTTGTTTTTAAGCCAGAGAATAAAGAACTGTTTGAATATGAGGTTTCTGTAAAATTTTCTACAAAACAACATAGATGAATTTGAAGGTAGAATAATGTGTAAATTATTTTTAAATGTAAGTAAATTCTCTGACTTGGTAACTGTTCTGAATACACTGCGTTTAAGAATTCTTTAAAACTTGGTTTTTCTAAAATTCAGAAATGTCCAAATTAGGCATATTGCTGAGCTCAAATTGATTTGAAGTGCCATGGTTCAAGTTGAACTTTAAATATTTCAATTTAGTTGTAAATAATGTGATATATGCCTGATTGATTATAATAGGAACCCATGACATATTTAGCCAAAGAATATATTTGGTTCAGGTGAAGACTGAAGCTTAATAATGGGTATCCATTTCTATTTTAAAAAGGATTTTAGTGAAGAAATCTGTTTGTGGCCTGTAGCGCTCTATATGGAAGTCTTTGTAAAGACTGAACACCCTGAGCCAGCTCCATGGTAATCCGTGGTATGAACTAGGAGGTGTAGCTTGTGTATTACACCTTCAGTGAGGCTTACACTGAGTACTATCTCCCATCCTCACACACTGTGTCTGGGTCTTCACCTGTTCCCAGGCCTTCCTAGCAGCAGGGAGGTTTGGTTTCCTCTTCAGTCTGTGTTCTTAGACCTCTCAGCTGTTCGGCACTGTCAGTGTGCCCTCACAGCTGATGTTTCTAGTCTGAAGTTAAGCACCACATCTATACCATGTACCTACTGGGGATCTGACCTCAAGTGTGCTCTGAGCCCAGGCTGCCTGGTGTGGAGTCTTCTGCCACAAAGTTACTATGACTGATTGCAAATGTTGGTATTGTGATTTCATTCTCTGTACAAAGAAAGAAGCTCTATGCAGTGAGTTTGTGGTTTAATGGTCACAAAATGTTAGGACTGCTACATTCAGTACATGTAAAATTTTTTAAATTTATAAATATTAAACTTTTAAACTTACTCTAAGACTTTTCAGTTTTTTTTAAGAGACCCAGGGACAAGTGTACTATTTAAATATTTACCTCTATTAACATAACTAATAAAGGTATAACATGTTTAATTTTTCAAGAGATGCTGCAATATCATTTTAGGAAATAAGGATGTGTATTGAGCCACAAGTGGAGTATCAAATTGATAAAAATTTTATTTGTATTTTTTAAATCCATACATGGGAGTTAAAATATGTCTTTTCACTAAATATTTTATTACATTTTTGTTTTGACCATGTGTGATTTGTTCATGGGAACTTACATAGACACTGTTATGAAACAGTGCTCTGGTGCTGTTTCACTTACCGTCATAGAATGATTGACACTGGGAACATTATACTGTCCTAAAATAAATGAAAGACATGTATAGGTGAAATCAAGATTTGTATTACTTTCCAAGAGAACCCCCAACCCCTATAAAACATCTAGTATTCAGAAGAAAAATCAAAATGTTGTTTATGTTGTGTAGTATTTATCTCATCCCACATCTTAGAAACAGTTTTAGTTAGCTAAATCATTAGGTAGGTTTAGGACATAATTTATAGTAAATAGTAGCTTGAGTCATTTCTTTTTTATCTTAAAGGGAAAGTGGGAAATTAACATTCTCCTCTGTGCTAGCCAGAGTTTTACCCTTCCTCCAGCTTTAAATTTAATAAAACATGTGTGGCGAAAAGTTAATTTTTAAAAATTCAATTTGAAATATATTTTTAATCCAAATTTGCTTTGAATATTAATTTTTCATAAGATTATAGGATTGATTTCACTCTAAACAGAAAAGTTGAGTGGAGTGTTTTGAAATTTTCTTTCATTATTAAAGGTAGTGCCATAGGCACAGGCTCATGTGTCATTTGAGAGCTATACATGATTTTTTAAATCTCAAATGTAAAAATCTTCAAAAAAATTTTTTTAAATGTTGGTTGCTGTCCAGTTTTTAAAACATTGGTTCTGTCTAAAAAATGGAACCAATTGATATGAAGTGGTTTCTTATAGTGAAAGGGAAAGGGGACATTACCAGAGACCCTTGCAGTGGGTCCTGGTCTGCGACCCAGCATGATATCTGTGAGACAAGAAAGTTTGGAAAAAAGACACAAAGACTTGAAAGAAACTGAGTCTTGGGCTGACCTAAGATGCTCTGGGCAACAAAAACAAAAGGCTCCCAGCACATCCAGTGTTTATCCGTTACAAGTGTGGGAAGGGGGGAACTGGGCAGGCCTTGGGACACCTGCTGATAACAAGTATCAAGCAAGCAGGACTATAGAATGAGGGCACAAGCATATCTTTGCTGAAGAGAACAAACATTTAAGTCAGAGGAGAGGAATTTAGTTGGAGCCAAGTTGACCTTGGCTGGACGTGAATTTAGCTGGTTGGACTACTTCCAATATAACACATTATGGAGGGGCAAGAACCTTGTGCCACTGTAGTCTGCTAATACTGGGCAGTGGTGTCTGCTACAGTTTCTGACTGATGCCTTCGGCTTTGCTGATTAGTTTATGGAATGATTTTGTTCATTTTTTTTTTTTAATGTTGGATCCCAGATGGGACTTATGCATTCTGTATCATCTCAAGTGGCAGTTTGGTTAAACCTTTTTTTAAAAAATTAAGCAAAGGAAGCAAAGGCCATGTTTGGTGAGTGTAATGAGAGAAGACTTCCTGGGAAATTACGACTTGAGTGGCAGCATTTTGTCTCAATTTTAGTACATGAACCAACAGCCTTCTGCTTTCAGTGTAAATTATTTTTAACATCCAGCATAAAAGTTAACTGAAGTTAAGTCATTAGTGTTGCCCAGAGTTGATAGCAAACTGAAGTCACTAGTGCTTATCTTTATTCCCATAGTAGTTAGCAGTGTTGAAGTTTTAATACTGTTTGCTTTTGCCTCCTTTGCCAGGTTAGGCTTCACATACTTGTATGAGTAGTGGAACTTCTCTTTTCTATACCTTCTCATAAATACACAGCCTTGGATTGTCCTTCCTGAGAACTGACCTGGCAAAGCTGTTTGAACTCGTAGAGTATAGATGGGAACCTACATTCAATGCCTAAACAACTTAGAGATTACATTAATTTTCACAGGTCCATCGTGTATTAATAGTATTTGCTTCACAAATTTCATTGTATTTATTCCTAGGAACACATTTTACCTTGTTAGATGTATTCTAACAAAGTCTAATAACTGATAATTATTTTAAGATACTGCCATGTGTTCAATACAGTGTGAACTTATAGCCCTAGCTACCACCTCCACAGTGGTATTATAATAGTTTGACATACTATTTACAGCCTTTAAGTGAGAAAACTGACCTATTTAAGTCAACCATCTTAATTCATTTGTGTTGCTGTAACAGCATATTTGAGACTGTAATTTATGAAAAACAGTAATGTATTTCTCAGTCCTAATGTCTGGGAAGTCCACAATGGAAGCATGTATGTCTGGGGAAGGCTTTCTTGCTGAGTCTTCATGTGACTCAAGATGGAGTAGCAAGGGCCAGGGGTTTAGCTCAGTGGTTTCGCTGCCTGCTGCGCAAGTGCAAGGACCCGAGTTCGATCCCCGATACCAAAAAAAAAAAAAAAGATGGAGTAGCAAGAGAGAACCAACTCCCTCAGTAAGCCCCTTTGTAAAGAGGCCTAATCCTATTCTTGAGGAGTGAGTCTTCTTACCCTAATCACCTCTTAGAGGCCCCACCTCTTGGTGCTATCACATTGGCAACATCTCAGTTTTGTAGGGGACTCATTGAAACCATAACCCAGTGGTAGTGAACCTATGGCATGGGTGTTGTTTTTCTTTTAAGACAAAAGATGTTAATGTAGAGTTGTTTTCTAAACTAAAACCTTGGTATTCAGGTTTAATTGCAGTGTTGGTACTTTGTGATAAATAAGTGGGTTTTGGGTTGCAGTTTGGCACTCAGTCTCTAAGAGGTTCAGCATCACTGCCATAGACTACCATTTACATTTCTGCAGAATACGTATTTGTCACTCCTACAACAGTCTTTTAACAAGTGGTTCCCACCATGAATTTCATGCATCACTAGTCTTTATAACAGTCTATTACCAAATAAGTTTGAAAAATGAAAAAAGTTTCTTTAATGTGTCAAGTTAGAGGCTTATTTAAAACAGCAATGTATGTTCTGAAGCTTGCACATTTTTAATGAGGTTTTCCTCATTAGTTTTTTCTCAAAGTATCTTAAGACTAGAATTCTAGGGAATATCCTTTGCAGTCTTTAGGATTATTCCAATAATTTGGTGATAAAGCACTCAAAAATACAAGAAAAACACAAAATCCCGTGTTTTTGTAATATTGGAAGATAGATGGATAGATAGAAAGATAGATGTTTTATTAAGGCCAAGCATGGCGAATGCCTGTAGTGCCAGCTACTCAGAAAGCTGAGGTGGGAGCCCAAGAGTTCTAGGCTAACCTGAACAACATAGAATAAAGGAGAGGTGGGTATTGAGAGTTTAAGAGATTTTTTCCAGAGTCATCTCCATTTCTATTTCTGGACAATTTCTCAAAAGTAGCAAGATGTACAAAAATCACTGCTGAAATACAAAAGAAAAAAATTTCTAAATTGAAATTTGAAAGCATCTTCTAGGTCCAATTTACGTGGACAGGTAATTTTCTTTGTTATTTTCATGATTTATGAAAACAATTTACAGTGCATAGATTTCACCAGGAAAATATTTATCTTTACATATTACTGTCTTGGCTTTCTGAACAGTTGGCAAATACTGAAGTATAACAATTGGAGCTCTCTGATGTCTGTGGTCACCAGTTGTAAAAATATATAGTGAAATGCATAAAGGTAATTATTGCATCTTACATGCTATTAAGCAATGGAAGCTTTGAATTCTTAAAAGGATCAACTGTTTTATCCAAAAATAATTTGCTTCAACATACATTTTCCTGATAAATTATATGCTAAGGTGGTCTCTTATGTTTGGAATATTACCTCTAACAATAAACTGCCTTAAGTTGATTATAGTTCTTTTCTGCTTTGCTAAGTTATACCTGGTTTTTAAATATTTGGTTTAATAGGCATCATCAATTCAAAACAAAGTCAAAATGAGGCATGGGTTATTATAGACTGAAAACAGTACTTAAAATAGGAATTATAGCTCACTCAGTTATAAGCCTACTGTTTCAATGTAAAAGCAAGAAGATGAAAATGGTAAGCTAGAGGAAAGTGGTAGCAACAGTATAGAATGACTGCTCTGGGGTATGAGAAACATATCACTTATGATTTGATAACTGTCAAGATGAAAGGGTGAGAAAGTGAAAAAATGGAAAGAAAGTCTTTGTAAATAGGGAGGGATGGAGGGGTGGAAGGGAGGGCAGGGGAAGGGGGAAAAACAAGAACCAAGAGAGACTATGTAAAGGTACAAATTTCCAATGATGAATGTCATACTTTATACCTAAAATGTACCAATAAAATTTTAAAAATAAAAGCTTTAAATAGAAAAAAAAAGATGAAAGGAAACTTGTTTCCCATAAGGGTCTGTATGGGCCAAAAACCATAGTAGGTTGTGTAGTTGAAAAAGATTGTACTTATGGAGCTAGATGTCTGTTTTAATACATATTGATCATTGCACTCAACGCCAAAGGCTCTGAAAGACTGAAGAATTTGATTCTTCCCTAATTCTATCATTACAAAGCTTCAATTTAGTATTTTAGTCAGCATTTTTACTATATGTACAAAGAAACACTTGACTCTGAATATCTATACTTCTCAGTGCTTAACTCCACTCTAATTAAATCTGAAATTTAGACCTGGCACAGTGGCCCAAACTCATAGCCCAGAATTTTGGGAACGTGAGGCAGAAGGATCACAAGTTCAAGCCCAGCAATTTTAGAAATTCAGCAAGATAGTATCAGAAAATGGCTGGGGATGAAGCTCAGTGTGAAGGCCATTGGGTCAATCCCAAGACCACAAAGAAATAACATAGAAAACCTTAAATATTTTGCCACCATTCTTAGAAGCAACTGCTGAGACACTGAAGCTGGAAGGAATGTTACTCCCAGCTCATGTCGGGCCTTGTGGCCCCTAAACGCCTGGTGGAACGCTAAGGACAACCCTAACACTAAACATAAC